TGCGATACCCGATTTTGATACTTTGATCTTTGCTTGAAGGTGCTGAACTTGTGTTAGGAAGCTTCAATGAAAGAAGTTTGATCCTCACATCTGTAAATGAAAATGTTAGATAGAGGAAACATTTGGACTTCTCCCACCGTGTTTCGGAAGTCCAATTGTCCAAACGTTTGGTCTTCTCCCACCGCTTGTAAATGAATAAATTGCAAATTCGTTTGGTTGGTTGCTGAGAAGGCTGAAATTATGTGATTAAAAAATAGAAAAATAGAAAAAACATAAAATTAGAAGGGAGTTTCTTGCAAGAGAGATGTGCTGACATGACACATTGCCTTTTAGTATATATAGACTAGCCGGGTGAATGGGAAAATCTAAAAGACTTAATTGTTTTATTTATTATTAATTAATATTAAATTAATAATCGAAATTTGTGGTTAATTAACTAAAAGTATTCAAAGTTATTGTTAATATTTAAAATTTTAATAATTGTTATTATTTTTAAATGAATTTTGATTAACTTTAAATAAATAAAAATAATTACAAAAGCTAACATTTTTATTAATTTCATTAAGAATTAACAATTATATGGGAATGGCAACAGGGTGGGTTCGGGGTGGGTTCAGGGCAGGGCACCCCATCCCTATCCCTGCCCCATAGTCAAGACACTTTACACCAACTCCGCCCCGTCCCCAATGTCAAGCGGTTTCAAGGCAAGGCAACCACTCATCAATGTTGGGTGAGTTTAAGGGCAAGGCACCCCACTCCTAATCAAGGATGGGAAATCCTCGATTTTGCCCGCCCCATCCCTAGTATTGGGCAAGTCCAAGTAGAGGTGTAAATTGGGTCGTGTTGGGTCAAGCCTTGGGCTATGATAGACCGTAGATCGAGCCAAGCTATGAGATGTCCATTTTTTAAAAAAATTAAGAAAGATGTTTAAATTTTTATTTTGTATGACTTTTGATGTATACAATTGTTTATATATCTAACTAGACCTATTCATCGGCCAAGTAGCCCAACGGCCCGACCCAGCTTGACCCGTTTTTTTCAAGCTTGTGTGTTCTAGCTCAGGCTTTMTCAAATAAGCCCAACCCGATACTATTACATATATAAAAAAATACTTTGTTATATATAATAAATAATATATAAATATATGCTTCTTAAACTATTAATAAATATCAATTTACTATTAGGAAATATAAATTAGTTTATTAAATTATTACTAAATTAATATAATATTAGTTTATAAAAGTATACTGAAAATAAGACATTTTGTGTAGAGATCGGGCTTCGGGCTTGCACTTTTTCTATTGATAAATAGGTACGTGTTAATTATAAAATTATGATTTTTTATAAATTAAATTTTTTATTTAATTCTAATCTAGTATATAATATATATAACATTTCTATATATTAATATAAAATTAGTTATTTAAATATTATATAATAATGCTTACCATATATGCATATAACTTCCAAGTTGAGCTTATTACTGGTTGTTTAGCTTCGGCCCTATCCGCTAAAGCCATCATTGGATTCCAAAAGTTTGATAACCAATTAGACTTCGGATTTGATTATCCCTAATAATGCGTGGGCATGGTACATATCTTAACTAAATCTAACTCAAAATAAAATAGTTGTTTGAGCCTACAAATTTATAGATCTAATCGGGTTAGGTTAAGTTATAAACGACTTGTTACTTTTTATTATTAATTATTAAATTACTATATTTATTTAAAATACAGTAATTTCTGAAAATGATCATATTTTCAGAAATATTGCTCATTTCTTGGCTAAAACTAAATTAAATGTAATTTTTAGGTTTTTATTTTTAATACTTTTTAGGTTTTTCAGAATCTTGGATTTTAAAAACTTTTGGAGTTCAATGATGGCTTTAGCGGATAGGGCCCAAGCTAAATAACCCCTAATAAGTTCAACTTGGAAGTTATATGCATATATAGTAAATATTATTATATAATATTTAAATAACAAAGTTTATATTAATATATATAGAAATGTTATATTTTTTTTTATATTAGACTATAATTAAATAAAAATTTTAATTTATAAAAAATTATAGTTTTATAATTAACACGGGCCTCTTTATCAACAAAAAATGTACAAATCCAAGCTCAAGCCCAACCCAACCCAACCATTGTACCAGCCTGGCACAGCCCACTTTACACCTTACCCTTCCTTTATGCTCTTAAGTTGGCTGCCCACCATTATACTACATCATAGCCTGAAACAGTCTACAAGAAAAATCCCATCCAGTGATAATCTCATTAGTGAAAAGGAAAATGAAATTAAAAACTTAAATTGAGAAGAGCCCACATTTATTTTCGGGCATTCTAGTGATAACCTCATAAGTAAGATAGAATCCCAAAATTAAGAAACAAAATTAACAATACAGGCGAATCCATGCTTGAGTGAGTTACTCTGTACCCTTATAGTAACCCTTATGGTAAAATATAACCGGAGAAACAAAATTTGTGTTTATTCAGCACTTTCTCTAAGGAAAACCAACAGTAAAATACTTAGAGGAAATAACATACAGGCAGAGGAGAATCGGTTGCCTTGATCATCCCCTGCCTCTTCTTGGCATCAATAGGGTTAAGAGCCGCAGCAACAACCTTGAGCAGCACCTGGCACTAACACTTTTGAATCAAATTCCAGAACATCAACGCTTCCGTAATCTCCGTAAACCCAAAGGTATGGGAGAAATTGCAGATGCCTCCATGGAACAGATTGGGAATCAGCAGAAGAGACGCAGAGAGGAAGTGGAGGTAGCTCCTCCAAAAGGAAGTAGCAGCCGTTCTTCCGAAACCTCCTGACAATGTGAGAGACAGAGGAAAGAGGGGAGCGGTGGTGGCGTCGGACTCGAGGAGGGAGGGTGGCAGTTAGTGAATGGCCTTGAATTGGCTTCTACTGGTCCGTACTCCGAAGAGTTTCCATTTGTATACCACTTGCTTTTGTTGTGTTTTTCCGCTCTTCTTCCAAAATCTTCTGCATTCAGGAATAGATGCAAGAAAAATTTATGCACCCACCAATAATACTGCTTGCTTATGTTTTTCCACTTTCTTTCTTTCAACATCTTCTGAATCATCCAGGATGCAAGAAAAAATTTATGCATGAACTTCGATAGCTAATCCTTGCATCATCAACATCTTCTGCATCATTCAGCTAATCCTTTGCTCGAGAACTTCGATAGCTAGCTGTTTTAAGGGGTGGTGGGTACAGCGTCTAGTATGAACTATAGGATTAGAAAATGGACACAGGACTAAACATGTATAATAGAAAATTTGTGGTAAAGTGAATATGTGCATGATACAATGGGGAGTAGAAGTGCGTGCAGTATAAGATGTGCAGGAGATTAATTCGACTGAAGTCGTGTTGGTTTTTGTAAAAGACTAAAAACTAACCGTAACGGCTGAAGTGGCCTCAATGGTTTGCCACTTTCTTGATTTTAAGTTGAATAAAATATTTTAATATACTATTAAACAATTTATTGACTAGGAGACAAATCAACAAGTCAACAAATGAGTGGTGGCCAGTTGGTAAGTTGGCCGGGTATTCGAACTAGGGGTGCAAAATGGATCCGATCCTATTTGGTCGGATTCGGATCACCTCTGACCGGAATTTAAGATCGAACCCTATGATCCAGGCAGAAATCGGATCGGATTTGGATCACCCTATCCGATTCGAGAAGATCCGGTCCGATGTGTTATATATATTATTTATTTTGTATTTTTATAAATTTGTTATAATATTTATTTATTTATATGATGAAAATAATTAAAAATGTAACTAATATTGGGAGAATCTAGAGAAATTGAATGTGATGTTATTTATTCTAGTGGTGTTTGATCCTAGATATAAATTTGAATATTTAGAATTTGGGATGTCTCAAATGTATGAAACTGATGAGGCATTTGCAGTAAGCAAAAGGGTGAAAGAAAGCTTTGTATGTTTTGTTTGAGGAATACAGAAACTTAGCTTCTCTCTAAGTGACAGTGAATCCTCAAGTGATTCACAGAGTAGGGTGTCAATTGATGTTAATGTGGAAAAACCATCAAAAAATACACCAATGATTTATTCTCTATATAAAAAGTACAAGGCTGGAAAGAAAGTGGGGATAGTAAATCAGAGTTGGATAGAGCTGAAGATGTTATAGAGTGTGCTAACGATTCATTTGATATCTTGTTGCGGTGGAAAGTCAATAATAGCCTAAGATTTCCTATCCTCTCACAAGTAGCACATGATGTATTGGCAATTCTTGCTTCTAAAGTTGCATCCGAGCAGCCTGCATTTAGTATAGGAGGTCGTGTTACTGATTCTTTTAGAAGCTTATTGAATCCTAAGATAGTGGAGGCACTCATTTGCATTCAAGATTGGCTTCAGACATCTCCATAACCGCTTAATGTTGAAGAAAAGTTGGATGATATTGAAAAAATATAGTAGTACTTTGTTTTTTCATTACTTCATGTTCATGATTTTATACTTGCTATTGTATCTTGATTTATTTTAATTTTCTTATGCAGATATTAGCACTATCACATTGCCCCCTATTGTGATTGAGGTAACATGCTTTTGAATATGTGGATGAGTGGTTCATTTTGAAGTGACCAAACACTATCTTTTGGATATATATATATATATATATATATATATATATTCTCTATGCTGGGAGTTGTGAATTCAATAAAACACTTTTTTCATGTTATACAACTTTGAATTTGTCAAGCTCTGCCGTTTATGGTGTTATCCAGTTATTCTCCTATTGATATTGTTATATTATTCCTGTTTTATTAATTAATTTTTTTTATACTAATTTAGCATAGAATGGTTTAAAGTCCCCAAACCGCATTAAAAAAAAATCTAAATCATAATTTACTAATTTAGTATGAAAAATTCTCCAAACCACATCAAACTAGACCTTGAACACCCCTAGCCCTAATTCTCGTAATGGGAAGTGCTACGATGAGAGTAGAGCAAATACAAATACAATGTGGGAGACATAAATTAACTTAATTAATTAATATATGAACAGATATATTTTATATAGATTATAGATGATGAAGGTGGTGGGGACATAAATGAATTTGTTGTTTCAAGTGTAGGAATAACGAGTACAGAGGTGGTAGCCGGAGATGAGGGAACTGAAGGCAAAGGCCACAAATGCAAGGAATGACATAGCGATGGAGGCGCTGGCCATCTTGGTGAATTCATCCTTCCCCCAATTGGATACCCAATCGTCCACCCGGGTGGCTGCCGACGACGATGCCGATATCAGAAGATACGTCAATATCTGCAACTTACAAAAAAAAAAACATAAACCATCACCACACTCTTCAACTAATGGAGGAGGGATGAAAAGGGGAATTCAGTCGTCAGTGGACATGAGAACTTGCCTGATCAATGGAGAAATCCAAGAGGCAACGGAGGGCGTGACGGATGACATATTTTCCGGTGATTAAGTGGTAGGACAGAGCGTACGCCTGAAATCCAGCGTAAACAAATGCGATCACACTGACCGATACACAGTACCTGCATTCACACAGTCACATGATCCCATCGAATCACTCAACCCCCGAACTCCAAAACAAAAACACTGCAGCTTTCCACTGGCAGATCACAAGATCTTGGTTATCTCAACCATTAATTCTAATTCTAAAGCTTTGACGTCCAACAGACTAAAATTAACTAATCAATTATCAATCTACAGTGTATAGTATTAGTGAATCTCTCTCTCTCTCTCTCTCTCTCTCTCGTTTGGGAAATGGATTGATTAAGCATTAAGTAAGTTGATTTAATAAGCTGGCAGCCTGCTCGGGTGGTCCCTAGTCACTGTAACCAATGAAAATTCATCAAATTGAGACCGAATTCCGTTTTAACCCTGCAATCCCGGAGGAAATCAGGAAAATACTGACATAAGTGATTTGTGCCGAATAAACCGGCTTCCAACCGCCGGTGACCAGTTCCTCCATAAAAAACCAAAAATAAACAAAGCAATTTACAGTGGAAAAAAAAGAAAATGGAAATTCCCTCATTTTTAAATAAATATTTCCCTCGTAATCTCGTATTAGGGGAGGGGGTATGGGATGATTGGAAGTGAGAAAACGAACCTATATTCCTTGTATCTATAGAATGAATCACCACTCCAGCCCTGCGTCTTATCGGAGGCCATGACCGAGAACGAAACCAAGCAGAAGACGGCCGCACAAATCCTAAACCCCAACGCCGCTCGCTTCACCATCACTTCCCTTCTTGACCTCCTGAGAATTGATAAAACCGCCTTGGATCGCCTCTCACCACCATGACCATCCTCAGTAGCGTCGCCTCCCGCGCCCCGGCCCGCCAAACCGTCCCTCCCTCCCGGATCCACCTTTGTCACCACGGGTAGCTCTTCCCGGGTGGACCGGTTCACCACGACAACCGGAGAAGGAATGTTGCGGGGTTCGTCGTGGGGAAGTGGCACCGGTTTTTTGTCTTCTATCGGAGAGGAACCACGGGAGTAGAAGTCGACTGGGACGATAGCCTTGGATAGAGAATTGTCGGGTGGAATGTCATCGTGGTCCGGTGGGCTTTCCGGAGGGGAGATGTATTTATCTTCCCCGGGTGATCGGAGGGGAGAAGAGTCGTCCTCCATTTCAATCTGTTGTTGCTGTTTTGAGAATTGAGATGATTGGGTTTCCTCCGGTTTTTTTTTTCTGTAAATTTCTGGGCCTTTTTTCTTCACGAATCACGATCTCCTTTTCACTCTTTTCTTTTGTTTTTGTTTTTCTCCCTTTACATATATAAAGCAAGCAAGCATCAGCATCAGCATCAGCATTCAACATATTTGTGCGCTTAAAAGAGTTGAGAGTTGGAACTTAAAATGAAGTTAGTGGATCAGCGGAAAGGCATGAATGATACGAAGGACAAGTGGTGCTAAAGAGTAAAGATTCTTTATCTAACATAATAAAGAAATGAAGATAGACAATGTTGCTTTAGCATCATCTCAGGTTATTCTCAGGCTCTCAGGCTGAGAGCGAGAGGCGTGGAGAATAGATTAAAGAGAGGAGGACTAGGGAGGGAGGGGGGTCCATAACACCTAACCTCTACTTTGTTAATTGTTAGTGTGAGATAAAGGAAAAATGGTCATTTGTTAGCATAAAATAACTGTAAAGCCAAACCAGCAGACCACCCCATGACCCCATACCTCCTTTATTACTAATTATTTTTCTCACTTAATTTCTTGTAACTGATTGGACATATGAATACTTTAACAATTGGAACTACTTACTTGTCAACTAAGCAAATTCTTTCGTTTTTACTTTTCAACCATCCTGGACATACCTTTCAACTTGATTCATCAAATAATTTTCTTGGGGTGCTGTTCTGATTGGTCAAAGTTATTCCGGTATCATACCTTTCAACCATCCTGGACATTGCCAAACCACAAGCAGAGACAAAGTCATACTAATAGTAGATCGCAATCAGCATTGCCCAGTCAGGAAGAGTGTTTTAAGGCCACTCACTCAGACTTGACTGATGATGATGGCACAGATTGATGGGCGGCACATCAGGCGGTTTTCTTCATTCTTTTTAAAGCCAAAAAAAAAAAGATGGTAAAAAATTAGCATTATCTCACCGCATACATTTATAATTTTAGAAAACAGAGTAGCTCTCTAACATTCCGGTTGATAGGCCGCAAAGATGATATACTACACACCTCAGGAAAAGAAATCCTCGTACAGGCAATTAATTGGAAACAGCGCCATAAGCTCAAATTTGTGTACTTTATACAGCTCGCTTCCGAAAGACACTACCGATCAGAACTCCTCTGTACACAGTTGCCCTTTTGATCTAAAATGTTGAAACGGGGAAATTGCATTCTTGAATGGACTCTCATTTATCAAAAGCCAAAACAACTGATGATCAACGATACATGGCTCACTCCGGAAGCTTCAACCGGTTGAACAATACAAGGAAGCTTTGCTCTGGAATAATATAAAGGAATCCAAGGTCTGCCCCTCTGGCATATGGTCCCATGCCCTAATTAAACAATCAACAGGGAGTTAAGACTGAAAAGTTAAGTGTAAGCAACGAAGAAAAAAATTCCAAGTGAACAAGTGATTGTGAGTGGTTACCGGGCATGATGCTTGAATGTGATGCTCAAAGCAACAGTATTTCACTCACAATCATTGTATGTATAATCCATTAGAATACCATACCTCTTAGAGAAAAATTGAACTTTGCCTAGAAGCTATCAGAAGAAACAACTAATAAGCTCTAAAATAATCTCTTTACCTTGCCACTAAGCTGGAGTAGTTCACCATCAACCCACTGTGGATTCTTAAAACCAAATTCTGCTATTCTTCCTTGACCTTTGTAACTAGAAACCTGAATAAAATGGTTCACATAATTTCTATCAGAAAAGTTCACCAATACCCCCCCCCCCCCAGAGAGTGAATTAACTGGCCCATAAATGAAATAGATTGAATGCACTGGTGACTCAACTTTGTCATATCTAAGATTGAATCATGCATGCTGTGCCTGTGTATCCCAACTTTCATTGTGTGTGTGTGTGACTGAGAGACAGACAGCCAATATCTAGAAAATAAAATTTTAAAACCAGATTTTGGTTCTCCATTGAAAGAGATTTGGCTAACAATGAGCATTTTAGAAGCTTATCACGATACCAACTTCTGAATTTTGTTAGAGGAAAAGAAGAATTACCACTCCCAGTTCATCTGGATACATCCCACGGTTAGGAACGCGATTCCCTTTACCAATTTTTGCACGGAATGTTACCTGTTAAAATAAAGAAATATTGACCAAATAATACATATAGATGCATGGTAAAGAAACCATAAACAAGTTAAAACTCTACAAACCTGGCCAGCAGGAACATTTAAATCCCCTGTCAGCTTTACTGCCTCAACATACTCAAAAAATTCCACATCTGACCAGTTGTCTGTGTCATCCACACTATGCCAATGGCCAAATTTACGCCTCAACTGTACCACCTCAGTGCCATAAGGGCCAAAGGCCCCAACGTAGAGACCTGCATGGCAACCAAGTTCTTCCCATCCTCAGAGAAATCGTTACTGTTTACAAATACAAGGTCACATTCTTTTTCACTATTCAGCACACACGTGCACATATGGAGAAGCAATTTTACCATCAAATGGATCCAAATTGTCTCTGGAAGTGGTGATCCGAGTAAAAGTTGTAGTCCCAGATAGCCTATTTCGTTTCTGAGCCTGACTTACAGCAAGCTTTACAATCTCACGTACATCTCTAGAAACCTAAAATAGAGTTGACAACTAATGAATTTAATCTCAAGAAAACATCCATAAGATATAAACAGGAAGTCACCCCAAAATCATGATTAGATCTCCTTGAAAAGTAGTAAGAAACATGAGTTGGAAAGACAACTCTTATGTTTCCTATCAAGGATAGTGTTCCCAATTACATGCTCAGGGCTTTCCTAGTACTGATGGATTGGTTTAAGGTGTCAGACCTGTTTAGACAGTTCAAATTGCCTACAGAAAAGGCATCACCTTGGCCCGAACTGCTATTGTGGTCTATGTTACCCAGATACAGCAAGGACAGTGTTGAATACGAACTTTATACTGAAAGTTGAAATATCAAACATGATACAGAACCCTTTTACAGGTATCCAGGTATCATAGATAGTGGTTAAAAGTAAAGTTGTGGGACCATGGCATTGTGGATTCATGTTAATCCTCCTAGGGTTTCATATTTCAATGGTTGCATATATGGAAGCATATATGAAAGCCAATGCTATTTGGAGGGAGGCAAACACATCTGCAGTAGATGTATAACCAAGGATGTAAATATTTCTTTCTTTTAGATAATACACATTGACATTTGCATATCGAAAAAGTGTTTACAAGCGACAAATGAATGGATTACCATGTTCGAGTGCAATAGAATATTATCTTCAAGTAATATCCTTCTAACCTTAGTCATTTTCAAAACCACATTGATGGATTATGATACAAAATTATCAGAGTTGGTTTGTTAAGAAAATTCTAATATCAGTTTTCAATGTGATAATAGAATCATAAAATTTATCTTAATCCCACCTTTGAAGGAACCTTATCAACACCCCAAAATGCCTTGGCAACATCAGGAGGCATGAGCTCAGAAACACCTTGAGCAGCAATAGCTGCCACTTTGACCTTAGGCACTTCACTTTCTCCAATATCAGAATCTTTATCTCTCTGAGGGACATGTAGTATAAAAGAATCCTTTTCGATATCCTTTATTTCCGCTGGCAATCGCACATATTCATCTTTAGAAGGAGAATCCTCACTGTTGTGTAAAACCCCACCAATAAAAAGCTTCATGGCGGCCATATCACTTCCCTCATCCCTTGTATTAGTATCTCCTCCCAGAGCAACCCCCTCACGATGAATATCATCTAGATCACCTTCGTCCTCAGAATTCCCAGTTGATCTTGCCTTCTCATTGTCCTCCTGCATTAGCTGCTCTGCAGTGTTATCATCTCCTACTCTCTCCTCTGGAACATTAATGTTCATGACCTTAACTTTTAATCCTGGAATTTTGTCTTTAAGAAAATTTATAACACTTTTTATCCCTTCTTCACTAGCATCCTTAACGTTGTTTGCATTCTTATCTTCAGGTTTCTCTGCATCATCCTCTTCATTCACTGTAGTATCTTCTACAGAAGAGTTAGTGGCCAAAGTGGTTGGACCATCTGTTGGTTTTGATGGTGACGATGTAAACTTTGATGAACTTCCTTTAGCTCGCTTCAAGTACACTACCTGTCAAGATATGCAATCTCAAAATTATTAGACCATTGAGTGTGTATGCTGACAAAAAGTTAGGACATATGAAATGCCCATGGGACAGCATTCAACATCCAATGAATCCCCCCCAACATGGACTCTGAAAAAAAATGACCACAAGAAATTGCAAAATTAATTCTAAAATTATTTTCCAGACCGGTTATCTTTTCTGGCCATCCAAAATAATGCATAAATTGAAGAATATCATTAAACAGAGTATCTTTCTTCTTTCTGAAGGAGTGCGCATGGAAAGATCTAATTCCACTTTCCACATGTAATTTTAGGCAAGTCAAGACTCTTTAAGGCTACTAATTGGTTATCCATGGAATTCCCCAATTTTTGTTAGCTCGTATAGACAAGTCAATAGAATATCTAGATATGCGGGGATGGGGATCAGTATATCAGCTAAGCCCATCAGAATAGCCACCGCCTGTATCTGTTTGCAAAAAGCCGAGTCAAATTTAGCAATCACCAAGTCACTCAGTTACAACCTTATTTTGAGTCATCCAACAACATGACCTTCTATGCCAAGAAAAGAGTTAATTGCATACAATAAAAAGAAAAAAAAAATAACATCTTTACATTACCTGCATAATATATGTCTCATTGACATCTTTGACAACAAATATCTCAAATAATGGTGTCCCAGGAGATGCAGTAACCAGTTGCCTGAAACAAACCAATATTATTAATTTTGTTGGTGGTAAGGAAGAAATTAGACAGCACTAGTCAAATATTTTCCACCTTGGACTGTAACTCCTGGCTACAAATCTGCCCACACCAGGGGTTATTCGTACTAACTTGCCAAAAGGATCATCAGAATCCTTTGAACAGCCGACCCACCATCCTACCTGCACATAAAGAAAAAGGACATTAATAGGGCATACCAAAAGCTTCATCTACACATGCACTTGCTAGTTACTATCGTAGTTGTCAAGGCGACATCTAGGTGGGCGCCTAGGCGACTAGGCGCTTTTCAAAGAGCGCCTCGCCCAAACGCCAAGAAAAAATATGTTAGGTTTTAGTTTTTTTTCATTAAATAGAAAAGGGGGGGGGGGCAAGGGAAGATGTACAAAGTAGGGGAAGAACCCCTGTAAATTACAAAGGAGGAAGCTTGTCACCATAAAGATGCTCTAAGAACACTCCACATTTAGCTAAGCCATCTGCTGTATGATGGTATTCCCTTGGAATCCAAACTAACTTTACATTTAGGAAGTCCAAATAGTCCCTGGCCTCATCAAGATAGTGGCTTAATCTCCAAGGTCCTCCCTCTTTGTCTCTTAACCATTTTATAGTATTGGCTGAATCACCTGCAGTTGGTTTTAGTTTTTATAATAGAACCTGTCGCATGTTATCATGTTTTTGTTGTGAGGAAAGTAAAAACAAAATAATCTTCAAGGGTTTCACTTTGACAAAAGAATCGAATTGACGAAGAGGAGAGAACAACAGCCCTCCATCGTTCCCACACAGTCCTCTAAGTCAAGATGAGTTAGCTCCTATTTGAGAACACTTATAAGAAGTACTTCTTTTAAGAGCTAGGACCACACATTAAGTGGTTATTAAGTGGTTTTATGTGTTTGGTAAAAAAGTGGGGAAGAAGTACTTTTTTTTAAGTACTTCTTAAAAAAGTGACCTGAAGTTGGCTTTTTTTTCAGCACTTCTTCAAGAAGTACTTCTCCAAAAAAAATGAGACAAACCAGTCCCTAATATTTTCTTGTAATACCTAAAATACCCTTGCATGAGGGTTATACTTCTATCTCCACTCATTCAAACATATCTACCAAGTAGCAGCGCACCCAGTTACAGGTCCACCAACGATGATCAGCGGTGAGGAAAAGTGGCCTGTGACCTGTCGTTTGGCCACTTTCTTCTATTTCCTGAAGTTATTCTTCTCATTTAACCTTTGTGCTCATTTGATCCTCTATTGCCTATCAGCCGAAAGCCTGAAACGCCAGCACACGCGTTGAAGCAGAAATCATGGCGAGTAGACAATGCCTCAACGCTCTCACTCATCAGCTTCGATCTCTAGCCCCCTTAAACTCATAGTTTCAAAGCCTTAGAGCTCTTCATCACCTTCACACCCTTGTTGCATCTGATCCTCTCTTGCTTGAAAGTCCCACCTCAATCACCTATCGTACCGGTCATACATTCGAATCTGCCTCCTGCATTCAGTCCCAAACCGTTCGCCCTTATTCATCTGGAAGGAGAAATTCTAGTAAACCCTAGAACGATGACGATGACAATGAGGCCAACGAAGATGATGATATAGACGAAAACGAAGAAGAAATGGGAGAAAGCAGTGATGGTGTCGGAGAAGGAGACCATATTCCGGTGTCAAATTGTGCATCAAACAGATCTTATTCCTTAGAGGAGACAGAGAAGGAAGCAGATGTAGGATATCGAACAGATATTATTGTTATTTATCAATATTATTCATTATTTGTTAATATTAGTTATTATTATTATTTATTATTATTTTTTAATTATTATTATTATTATTAATTGGGTCCACATGGCGATTCACGTGTGGGTCCACGTGGGCTCTCAGTTGAAATGTACAATATAACATGTGAAAAGCATTGTATATATGTATGAGTGAAGTGAGGGCTAAAATTGTTATCTGTGTCAATATAAACACTTATGGGGAAAGTAGCTTACCAAACATCCCCACCCCAACAAGTACTTCTTTTAACAACCACTTAATCATCAAACAGGGCCTTAATCAGTTTCCTTCTTCATTTTGTTCTCTGTTTCCTAGTTAAAACAATGGTTATGCCCCATTTTTCTCTCTTCCTTTTTGTATCCTTTCCCCAAGTTTTTTGAATCATTTTATTGGACTAAAATAGGGGTTCCGCCCTTTTTCTTTTGTTCTCAAATTTTTTGCGTGTTTTCAGCTTTTTTTTTCTCATTATTGGTGTCTGAAACAAGAGCGGAACAGGGCTCCACCCCTTCTTTTATTCTTCATATTCCTCTTTTATTTTAGTATTTTTTCACCAGCTTTTCTAGGTCTAGAATAGGAGCTCTGCCCCCTTCTTTTGTTCTTAATTTCTAGCATTTTTTCAGCTTTTTTTGTTCTCATCATTGGTGTCTGAAACAGGAGCTCCACCCCTTCTTTTCTTCTTCATTTTTCTTCTTTTATTTTAATATTTTGTCACCATCTTTTCTGGGTCTAGAACCTACTTTTCTTCTTCATTTTCTTCTTTTATTTTAGTACTTGTTCTCATCAAGCAACACTGCAAGAAACACAAGCACAAAAGTAAGTGCAGAATACATAAAACTAAAAAAACTAGTTCAGAAGGGGTAGAAATCCATCAACTTCTTATTTTTAAATTCCATCGCCTAGGCGAGGGCTAGGCACCTGAGCACCCCATGGTCACCTAGCCTCGCCTTGGCGCCTTGAAAACTATGGTTACTATCTTTCRATGTCAAACTAAGCAGCATCCTTGTGCTCAACATGTTAAACATTGTCCATTCGGGACCTTGTTAGTACATATATGACATGTATGAGAAATTCAGAATGTGGCAGCCAACAGGGCTAGGAAAAGACTCCCAATCATGTCATTGCAGAAAAACAGAATTTCCATGTAAGTTGTAATGCTGGCATACCTAAGTAGCAAATTTGCATAAACCAGTTTATTGAACAGAAGTTCCATTTAATCAGAAGCTACCCTACACATCACTCACCATCTCAGCATATCATCAAATATTCATGATGCTGCTGACATGCCCATGCTATTCAATTTAGCATATTGAAATTTTTCTCAGAATATAGCATCTTTAATTAGTTATATCACTGAACATCAATACAGGCACAAATGCAATTGTTAAGAGCTAGTGATAGTGACGTGTCAGCATCTCCCAGGGTCCAGGACAAATGCAACCATCTGGCTAATATCACTTAGTCAAGCTCCATGTCCCCAAGTTAACTGCAATGTCATATAGACACTTTAAAATGGGTGCTGTGCCATGCTCTTGTTGGACACTTTTTTAGTGCAAATTCCATGTTTGATGCCTTGTACATGCTTTGCCTATGCTTTAACGTTGCCGTGTCTGCAATATAAGTGATCTCTTAGGCTGTTTGGGTTTGATGGAAAATAAGACTGAAATTCCTTAAGAATTTTCCCTCAACTTTCTGTTTCTTATTTTCTATCAAATCAAACATAGCCTTAACATCTGCCATGAAATGGGATGTCTGTAAAGGATAAAAAACACCAAGTAACATATAGACAGCTACCTAGCTACACCTCCTATTTGGGGATTAAAATTCAGCACCAAGTATTGCATCCGATAATTTTGGAGTTGTATTTTATAATGGACACGCACAGGAACACAAGGATGTGCCAAAATGATTAAGGAGATGTTTGGTACCATGGATGTTTCTACTTAAAACACTGCCACATCAGCACCACCTAGGCATTTTGAGTTTAACGGTCAATTTTCTGTTTGATTGAGACTGTTTTGAGTTAAACGGTCATAAAACATTTCTACTGGAAACATAAATCAGGGGGTGTTGATGTTTATTGCTTTGAGAGGCAAAGTCTCAACACCCTGACTGATGTAGTGCTGACATGGATGAAAAACACATATTTCTCACCAAACAGGATTCAAGAACAAGCAACAGTGTTTGTGTTTCAAGTATAAACAGTGTTCCAATTTTCAACTCAAAACAGTGTAGGTTGAAATGGCAGTGATACCAAACACAACGTAAAAAATGCATGGAAACACTAAAGATATGCATAGAAATCATCTAGCGCTTCATTGTTACCTATATTAATTCCTGAAATTAAAAGGTAAATGCATAAATATTAATTTAACTTCATAAATTGTGAAAACCTATAGATATATAAATCACCAACATTCAACATTTGCATTTTTTCCATTGAAAATTCTATATGTTCCAATAGTATGATCATCATACCGTAACTTATATTTATTTGCTAATTATCTATATAACAGAAACTTCTTATCTGAAACTTTTCTTCTAATGCTTTTTTGTTAGCCATCAGGAACAATAAAGAAAAATCAGTAAACTGGGCAACTTTATGAACAGTTCTTGATGGTTTACCCTTTAGATAATGGAGAAATAGATGAAATTTTTGTGTCTTTTTGATATGGACTACAAGTGATAATGGCTAGGAAAATTACCAGCCCACTTCCAGTAAGTTTGCACAGCACTGATGCATCATGATAACGCTCTTCATCAATCGCATTCTGCCAATCAACATAAATGTAAGCTTAGATTTTGAAATGTGATGCTACTTCACACAACTATACAACTTATGATCCAACCTTTAGATAGGACATAATTTCAGATACAGCATCCTTGGATGTTGCCTCTGCAATAGCTGTTTTCAGTTTTGCAGCTTCCTGAAAGTCTTCCTTCTCAATTGCATCTTCTAGTTGAAACTGCAAAAGAAAATCACTGCTAAGAATGTTTGGAAAGAAATCAACCACACCTTTTACTTGGTATCATTAAGGAATTTTTATACCCTGCATAAGCAAGAAAAAGGTATCTTATCAATTCTTCCATATGAGTACAGATTTGATGACGTGGACAGGCAAATTTGATCAACGAATTTCTGTTTTTTCTTATGATCAATAAACCAATAGTGAACAGTGAAACAAGGTTGCCAAAAGTTACTCAAAATCTATCATAACTCGCATAATCTTAACCAAGCTTAGGGGCAAATCTGCAAACATTATAATGTTGCCCCTTAATCAGTAAAAAGGTTAGCAATTTACCCAATATTTTACACACCTAAGTGACTTTAGAATAGAAAATGCACGCTGTAAAAACTACAGAAATTTTTCAAATACAAAACATAACCAATAACAGCGAAGCTTCATATTTTTTTCCTTCTGAGCAAAAGGGGGGTCCATGCTGATACACAGATAAGGTAGGGCTTTACTTGAGGTAATTGATCTACCAGATTTAGGTTTCAACCCACAGCTGAGTACCTTGTTAAGTTTAACAGCATCAAGTTAGCATACATTCCCATACCTTCTCCATGTGTGCAGCACAGCACACACCTTTGAAATAGTCGTCTGCACACTTCTATAATGCACAAAGACCAGTAAGTCAATGGCAATATTTTTGGGCACAGAAAGATTAAAATGATACTGGCATGCTCAGATGTGCTTCGGCAATGCAGAGGAAATGGCCTAGGCACTAGGGGCAAGGTTACATGGGAGACAAAACTTCAGTTCAAAGCAGCTCCCTTCAAAATCCTAGGATATCCAACATTATTGCCATGTTCCTAAGGCCTAATAGAAGTATGTAATGGGCTTACAATGGACCTATTAGTGATGCAGATACCACAAAAGCCAAGGTCCCCGCCCCCCCCCCCCCAACACACACACACAAAATGGGCAAAGTACCTAAAATATCAAGTCTTGCTTTTTCTGATTCTTTGGCAGTTGAAAGAGACTTGACTATAGGATAGGGCCAAGGGGCAGAAAGAGGACTGGGACTGCACTTAGCAGACTATCTTTACAAAATAAGGGGAAATCGAGGCATTAAATTCTACTAAAAGTAGAAGAATTCCTAGAGATAAAAACACAATGGTTTGCAGAACTGGAAATGGTTTTGGAAAGGCCCATTGTGGTTTTTGAATAAACTAAATAGATTCTTCCTTTGCTAAATTTTTTGTTTGGATGTATAGAGATATTCAAGGGATCCGAACTCTATTGATAGTTTGGCTATATCTGGAATAAAAAGGGAGAGGATGCATAGAAGATGTTCATTGCCTCAGATTCCATATATAGCTTTCTTTTGCTTGCATTAATGGAATTTTTGTTGTCATTCTATCGTTAATTTTTCTCCAGAAAAGGGGAAAAAACTCTTTTAATTCAAATAGCTCACAGCTCAATTGCACATGGCTTAAGAGTGTAACCAAACCTTCTGCAACACTTTTTTTAACTTCCCTCGTCTTTTTGGAAGTTACGACAGGAACAAAAAAGTGATGGTTTCATAATGCAAGCCACAACCAGATAACCTCTACAACGTAAAGATTGAGCACAACTCTCATGCAATTTGGTGCTATAGCATTACCATAAGCCTTGGCATCTTTCCCATTTTATCCAAGAGATTAGATTCCCAATTAGCTCCACCAACACACTAATTGCGGACTGTTCCAAGGACAACAAATAGGATGGCCAACGGTCCTCCCAAATCAAGGTTTGAAGGAATTAATTTCCCCCTCCTTGAGCAATATTGAGGATCCATGAGTTCAAAATGAACAGCAAAAGAACCGGATTGACGATACAAGAAATCAAAACTGGAAGAGAAACAGCCTTGAAAGGAAAGGACAAAACGGATAAAACCTAAAATAAAGAGCGTAAAGATGGTGTAGAAACTGAAATAAGTCATTCAATTGCATTGAAGAACGAAAGTACAGAGATCACACACAGAAACTTCCTCGTAGAAAAGCACCCATATGACATAATTTAGAGATAATAAAGGGAATTAATTCAATTTCGATGCGATAGAAGGGGGGAAAAAGTACAACTCACAGAACCAGTAAAAAATATTTACTAACAGGATGCAGAAGAAAAAGGAAATGGGCACCTTGAGAACCGATGCAAGGTTTTCGGCCTGTTCAATTTCTGAGAAATGGCGAGTCCAGCGATTCCAATCCCAGTCGGAAGAGTTGCTGCACCGACAAGAAAGACTGAGATTCCGGCCACTTCTCCAAATAGATTTGTCGAGCCTGAAACCCACGAAGATGGGATTACACCCTTTTTTCGCAAAAGAATCAAGGCAAGAGTGTCTGAATTGGCATAGCGGGGCTGTGTTTCGCACGCCCCATGCATTAGCAACAGCCATCTCTGAGTCTCTCTCTTCCGGTCCTCCCTCCCTCCTTGTTTATGAGAATTTAAATGGATTTTTTGACGTAGAAGATTTTCTTTTTTTTTTTTTTTGGGTAATCGCTGTAAACGAATTAACCAAATTGGGATCCCCGACTGTGATACCGAGAGGGCATGATACCTAAAAATCAAATTCAAACCGGTATCATAGAATTGGAAACCACTAACCAAATTGGAAACCACTAACCAAGCATCCCGGTAAAAATGCTTTAGGTCTTGGCAGCAAAGAGGATGCAATTCGTTCCAATAAATCCAGCCAGCTTCAATCGTTCAACCATTTAACCTGCAAATGCATTCGGGTCGGATCCGGATTTAATATGGGAAAATCTAAGATATCGGAAAGACATGGTACCGAAAGAATATTGATGGATAACACCTGATTGATCACACCTATATACGTCTTTCTGATATCATACACGAACCCTTTTAATATATGTAAGAATATGCCTCTAAGAGATTAGAGTGGATATAAACTCCATGCCTCCATGGTTCTAAGTTTAAAAAAATAATAGGTAGATTAATATGCGAACCCCGAGAACAAACCATAATCAATCAAAATCCCTGAGAATTTTGATGAAAACCTCGACAACAAATCACAGGATAAGCCCAAGACTCCAGGCCCCAGTGATTTTTTAACGCGTCAGTATTCAATAAAAAAAAAAAAGACAAAATATCACGTTAAGCTGGTGTCCGATTAAAGTACTAGCGTGTTCAAAATCACTGGGTCTTGGTCTTGTCCTGGATCGGTGGTGGCAGGAAATATTTTTTCCACGTAATTTGATACAGATTTATTGGTTACAGTATCATTGTGAGATAGGGGGCAAGTCGGATTGGCCCGAGTTAACAGTTTACACTGTTTTAGGCTCAGGCTCCAGTTGGGCCAATTGGAATTTTGACAAAATCCAATATAGGATATCCAACCCATTTTTTGAATTAGTCCATTTCATCCTAATAACATAGACCCAAAAAAATATGGATACGGTACAAAACCAGATTTCAGATCAACCCATTTCATTATATATAGAGGTATCAATTATATTCGGAAATCCGATTTTAAATTCGAGATTCAATATAATCGAATCGAATTTGGACAATTCGAATATTGTAATCRATCGAATTTGGATATCCTATTCATACTTGTTAAGTAAACGGGTTTGATTTCAGAACAGCCCATTTCATGTTCGCTAAATATCCAAATTCAATTAATTATTTAATTCTTATATATAATATATAAAATATTTAAGTGTTTTATATAATATATATAATAAATAATTTATATACTTTATATAAATAAAATATTTATTTATATATTTATTAATTACCTAAAATAATTAATTGGTTATATTCGAATCGAATTCGAACATTCGAATATTTAAGCAAATTTGAATTCAAATATCAATTTTCAAATCCGTCGGATATCGAATCAAATTCAGATATTGTCTGATTCGATTCGAATTCGATCCATTTACACCCCTCGGTGTGCTTCATGGAGCATTAAATTCATTGCACTGATTTTCCTTATTCTTAAACCTAGCATAAACGGATTTTTATTTGCTTACTATTTTGTCTTTAATAAGAAAATAAAAACGTTCCTTATTCTTTCTCTTCTCTTATTCTAATTTTTTTGTAAGATCTCTTATTCTAATTGAAACATAGCTTTGTAGAATCAATTTTCCAGAAATCCAAATAGATAAAAGATCAATTAAATAAAAAATAAGAGCCAAAGAAACTTAAAAATGTAACTTAGACGTTTAACCCTGTGCCAAAGTACCAAAACAAAAGGAAAGTTTAGTTATAAATAGCGAGACAGCCCTGGATATTTGTAATTTGTTTTTAATTCAACAGAGTGGATGGTTGAAAACTTGAAATTAATGGCAGATAAATATAATTTTTATTATTTGATATTGATGATTGACCAGAGACCACGGGTGGGCTCTCCGTGCAGAGAGTCATCCGGATCGAGTTCAAGCCAAAAGGTAGAATGAAAAGGACAAAATAAGCAGATTCCTAGCATCCAATTCTTACCACCACACACATTAGGCTAGCTCAGCCTATGGTATGCATCTTATTTCTATTTCATCGTGCCTTTTTTTTTTTAAACCAGTAAGAGAAGATAAGATTAACATCAAAATGTGAGTTTGACAGCCTTGGAAGCATGCGGCTGTGCAAGATCATAACCATGACCATTCATTACCATGTGAGAGCTCATTTAAGTCATTATGTTCCAAAATATCCTACCCAGCAAAACAACCATAGCCACCAAATCTAAACGTAAAAGTTAAGGCTTAGTTTGGGAAGAGTACAAATATAAATATGTAAAGTGTAAATACAAGGATTAGAAATATTTGTATTTGTACTCTTCTCAAACTAAGCCTAATTCTCGAATGGCCCAGAAAAAAAAAATGGTTAGGGATTGAGAATTAACTGCATTCACCAATTGAATTGATGGTAGATGAAAAAGTACATCACCAAACAGGCAACCACAGCCTACATCCATGAACAATTTAGCTCTGATGTGTGGAACAAAGGAATCTCTCTTTTACTACTCACAAGTTACAACCGGGGGTCAGTACTCAGTACAATTAATGGACAATCAATTTCTCCAGCGGACCTGAGACAGTTAAGGGCGAGGTTGAGGTGAATGATCCAGAACACATTCCATGGATGGTGCTGGTCTGGCTGGCACCTCTGTGCTTGAAGGGCTCTCAATTACCGTTGAAAGACCTCCATTCTCAGCAGCTTCCAAGGCGATGTCTGGATCACTGATTGACACAGCGTTTTCGGTGCGAATTGGGCGGAGAAGACCCTGCAATCTCAGTAGATAGCTCTGCCCAGGTGGTTGAGCTCGTGCATAGCTTGTTGTAGTCACAACACTGGCAGAGGTACGGCCAGAATCTGCATTGAGATTGGAGAGAGCACTGAGGTCGAGGTTGGGGAAGACGGAGCAACGACAGCGGGGGCACTTCACATTCAGCCGAAGCCACTCATCAATGCACTCCACATGAAAATTGTGAGCACAAGGGAGTCCACGAACCTGAAACACTTCTTATGAGGACTTGCAGCTTAATAATCCTAACATATCCCAAAATAGAAGAGGCAGTGTGTAATAAAAACCAAGTGTTATAATATCAGAAATGTCCCTTTCAACCATTATTCACAATCTGTTGGGACTGAGGACTTGGACCACCATAGTTCCTCTTGGATGCAGCCCAAAAGACAAAACGTCCTTAAGGTAGAAAACACAACATATGATGGCTTTCTAGACGCATTGAGTTATGATGAATGGTCAAGTACATGAAAAAATTGGTTAGAAAATTCTTCATGCCATGATTTTTTTTTTTTTTTTGCTTCTGTGAAAAGGACATCTAGATAGACTATGTCAAAAAAAAAAAGGTGCACCATGGGCATAGTGCAGAGCAACGAGGAATTTGTTCTGCTGGATGTTAATTGTCCCACCCAAAACCAACCTTAATAAAGAACATAAAAATGAATGGATTTTCTCAAATGGTTACAGAATCATGACAGTCTCAAATATAAAAAGAAACAAGATGATGAAATCTGCCTGGGATATATGTTCGGACATTTTGATAAAAACAGTGGACAATTGAATTATTTACCTCATTTCCAACATGGAACTCTTCAAGACAGATGGGACATTCACTGCAATCAGTTGGAACAGCCTTCAGTCTGAACTTGGGAAGTTCCTGAATAAGTGCTTCCACTGCTTCTCTCTGTGCAACAAAAAACAAAAGCAACAACCATCAGAATTGGCAACAAGAACAAAACTAAAGCTGGGATAAGAACTTTTTAAACAAAATATTGGCAAAGCATACATCCCTGAGAGTCTGAGACAGGTATATATGCATCTCCACCACATCTATTTTCATAGAATATTTCATGTATCACAGTAAATGAGAAGCTTAAAGCACAGAATCCTGTCTTACTAATGGTTTGTGATACTGTTAATACATAAACAATATGAAAATAACTTGAGCAGTGGTTTCATAATTAATACAGTTGACCTGGATTCTGGAAGACATCATATTAATCCCTAGTCCATGATCAGATGTTATCAGATACAACCACTTTGGATGAATATCACAGCTCCAACCATCTGAATTCTGAAGTAGTGACTAGCAAATAAAATAGAAATCCTTCCTCTCCAAAATTTTGTGGACACCACATGAGTACCAAGCAAGGGATTGTTTCATAGGTTCAAAATATGAAAGATCTTTAAGATCCCCCTACCTCTTGGGGTGTTGATCAATTCTCTGATATCAATTACATTTACCTAAGCAATAATAATTGTTAACAAGATTTAACAATAACATTTGCATGATCAAAACAATATCATGCTCTAAATTTGAATTTGGAAGGGCATAAGATTCTGGTGTAACTACTGCAGTCCAGAAGTACGAAAAAATGACAACAATGAAAAAATCACCACTACATGGAAAACCCAGTAATACCCTTACCTGAGGAGCAGTTAAGTAAAGTCCTGGATGATAGGCAGCAGTATCTTGGCCCATCCCTCTCATCTCTTGACCAGCAGCTTCAAATGCCCAGTCAGGTACCCGGATCATGTCAACCAAAACCTGAAATCAGGAGGAATGAAGTTTCTATAATGTGGTCTGCCTTAAAATATGTAAATAAGAAAAATGAAAGGAAATTCACTGTCAAAACAAGAATCAATATAAGGTTCCACAGACCACAGTCATAACCAGCAAATTGAAATTTTATTATAGAATTGCATCAGGCCAGGAACAGTCCTGAGAGAATGTTCTATATCATATGGAGAACAGAATCATGATGATTGGATAACCTCAACTAGCCAATAATTAGTCAACCTCAGACGTTCTGAATTTCTCTGTATCTATGGATAGTGAAGGTATGTTATCTTAGAAAGTCAAAATTATGTAAAATCAGAGTCGTATTCCTAATCTATTGAGGTTTATCTTATTCCTAGTCCTTAGTCAACTAAGGTTTGTCCTAAATCGAAGTCCTGGTCCTCAGCCAACCAGGGCTTGTCATACTCCTAGTTTTTTATTAATGGTGTTTCTTGATTAGTTATGTGGTAGGAAAATAATAGAAAAGGACTGGCCTCCCCCCCCCAACACGCCCACCCATCTCTGCCTACATAAAAGGCCCTCTCTTTCTCGCATAGTCACATCAGATAATAATGTTAGTTATTAGATACTAACATTGGAGTAGCAATATAATCTTGATGGTGTTGATTCCTTTATAAGGGCCCGACTATGATATGGAAAAGATATGATATCCGAAAAACATCTGACCAATCAACTGGAATCATAAACTTAGTAGCGAATCAGGTGTTATTTATCAAAATTAATGGGTGGGTTTTGATTGGTCAAAACTCTTTCCATACCATATCTTTTCCACATCATAGATTTCCCCCCTTTATAAAGCTATTTAAGTATTGATTCTCCAAGAAGCTATTAGGTGCTGATTCCTGGAGAAGCCTAGGTGTTGATTCCTCGGCTTCTTTTTTCTTGTTTGTAGGTTCATCTTGCACCTATGTCTTAAAAGGGGTGTTGGTGTCTTGTGACCTGAGGCTCGTCTTGAGTTGAGGCTTAAGGAAAATACCTTGAGGTTCAATCTTGAGGTTCCACATATACTAGTATGAGACATTTTTTCTTTACACCTTTGAGATGTCTTATGTCAAGGCATGTTTCATGCACTAATTGCAGTAAGGTTCTCATCATGAAATAAAATTAAAGATCACTTCTATGTTTTTTGGACATATGTAATTGTTTAAATATGTATTATTTTTAATACTAATCTGCTTTTCTGGTCCACATTTTACACCTTTGAGATGTCCTGTGTCAAGGAAACATGTTTCATGCACTAATTGCAGCAAGGTTCCAACATGAGATAAAATTAAAGATCACTTCTATTTTTCTGGGTATATGATAATCGTTTAAATATGTATGATTTTTATCACCAATTTGCTTTTCTAATCCACATTAGGAATTTTCTAATAGTCTTGAAAGATTTGTAAGAAATTTCATTACCTTGTACAGTTGCACCCTTGTTTATACTCAACCGCATATCTGTAGTCCTTGTTTATATGATAAATGATGACTAATTAAATTGCACATTGTTATCATATAAAAGTTTAGTCCTTTGCTGCACAATTCTACTTCTTCACATCTTAGTCCATGATTTTCCTTGAAACAATCAAAACTTATGAGGCTTAAGCCTTGTGTCAAAAGATTCTGGTGCCATGCCTCATGCTTTTGCTTTTAAAAACATTATCCCACATCATATTTGAATTTTAGAGTGGTCAGTAAACCTAGGATTAACTTCACCATCTGTGATCTGCCAAGACAAATGAATTTGCCATTTTGGCATCATTTGATTTGCTAATTCTGGGGTACACAGAGCTTATTTACCTCCTTGCCTAATCATGTTTTCGCTTTGGGAGGAGGCTGTCATGTGCATATCTTTTGTCACTGTTGTAACATCCATAAATGTACACACCATCTATCTCACATATTAATACCATACAAAGTGTCTTTCTTGCCAGCACTTAAAGGTTCAAACAAAAGGAATTTGAAAGCTTACACCATATTCTGAAATTGGAATTCCATGTTGAGCACGTTGTAAGTGTGCTTGTCGTCGTGTCAACCACTAGAAAATAAATTCAAACAGTTAGATTCTAACTTGCAAAAAAACCCATTACAACATTATCAAATGTGAGAGTGTTAAAGGGAAGGAAGAAAAGAATATATTATATATGGAAGAAGAAAACAGTATCAACAATGACAGAAGGATAAAATAATAATATTAATAATAGGTGGCTGGGCAATCAAAACGAGGAAAGAAATAGGGGAAACCACGTTTTCTGTGTTATACATTTGGTTTAACAGACCAAGAAAAAAAGGCTACAAGAGATTCCATATAAACTGCATATCGTCAGGGTTTTTTTTTTGAAGAAGAAGAAGAAGAAGGTGAAGTATAGTATCATTAAATAGACAAAAAACATGTACAATAGGTTGCTATACACAGGGATTTCCACTGCATGCAGACCTAAATCCCCAAGTCCTGCTTTACAAAATGGTTATCATAAACAAAAAAAGGAATCATAATTTCTATCCTTAAATTAAGTGTTCATGGCAAGCCAAGAGAACATTGTTCCCAAAATTTTCTGATACACCATGCCTGTAGAGCTACTTTAGTTGTTGAATGTCCTTGCATTTCTCTCCTGCCAGATGCACCAAAAAACTGCTGCAGGAGCCATGTTCAATGCCAGTTTCCCCCTCTTAGTAAGACCTTCAACTCTCCATCCCTTCACAAAATCCACCACTGATTCTGGGCAGCAGCTTTGTAGCTCAAACAAATTTCCAACTTTAGACCATATCTAAGAAGAGAATCTACAATATAGCAGCAAATGGTTGACTGGCTCATTTTTCTCTTCACACAAAACATTAACGGTGGAATTCAGCAGCATACCTTTCCTCTTTTTTTTTTTTTTATCAGCAGCAGCATACCCTTCCTTACCAAGTTGTCCCTAGTAAGGATTCTATTCAAGTAGGTAGTCAGAACAAAAAAGGCTGCCTACCTTTATATGGGCACATTCTTATACCAAACAATCTTCACTGGGATTGTCTGTTCCTCTGATCTGGAGATGTAGTTGTAGAAAGACTCGACTGAAATTTCCCCAGATTTCTCCCACTTCCAAGATCTTCTATCATTTCTTCTAAATTGAGGAGCCCATACCACATTCTCACTTGCACCTGCATACCACACAAGTCTCCTTGTCCACTGTCTGCACAAACAGAGCAGGATCAACTTCCCTTCATAGATCTGCCTTCACACCAAGAATCATTCCAAAATTTCACCCGGTGTCCATCTCCAACCTTAAAGGTTCAAACCTTATTCCCTTCAATAAAAGGTCATAAGCTTTCTCAATACCTTTCCAAACAGACACCCATAGGATTGATTTGGCACCCCCAGCTCCCAACCAGAATTTCTATATCCATATTTAGCCGCCACCACCCTCCTCCATAAACCTCCTTGATTCTCTCCAAACCTCGAAAACCACTTCCCCAGCATAGCAATATTTAAATTTTTCACTCTTCCCACACCCAAATTTCCCTGATGCTTAGGCTTGCAGATCTTATTCCAACTCACCAAATTATATTTTTTCTTCTCGTCCCTCCACCCTCTCCATAAAAAATCTTTCATCAACTTCTTTATGACAATTGCCAATCTAGCTGGAATTGGGTACAATGAAAGCAAATGCATAGGAAGGAGGAGTGCACGCTTCTCAACAACATAACTTTGCCTCTATAAGGCAAACAGAAATTACGAGAGGAAAAGAAAACCAAAAGAAAGGTGGGCTTTCAATGAAGAAAGAAGAAGAATCACAAAAATATTACATAAAAATGGATATTTCTATGGCTTATAGCTAGCCTGAAACCAAGGGATATTATATATATATACCTCATTCTTTTCTTTTAACTTTCTTCCTATTTAACTCCTGAGCATTCTGTGTACATCTTCCTTCAGGATTTTTTATCAATAACTGATGAATGTCATTAAGATAATGAAATAACGTAATAAAATACAAGGTTTAATAGGCTTAGTGCCATTCCTTAAGGTGAACTAGTGAGCCAGCCCCACTGCTGCTTCCCCGGATACAAAAAGGTCCTCATTCAGATATATGATCCTAACAAGGTGGAAGAACCCTAATACAGAGAATGTCTATTGGCTCTCTCTGTTGCCAAAGCATTAGCAAGGGAATTGATTGACCTAAGAATCCAGCTGAAAGAAGCACTAATCTTACAACCAATAAATCATCTTCTCCAATCAAATATTTCATCCTTAATGGACCAAACCTTCTCCTATCCACCTAATTGTTACTTCTGAATCTCCCTCTTGCTTCATGACTTTGAAGCTAAATAAGCCCCTTCTCATCATTACTTGGCCCCATTAAAGTGAAAAAGAAGAGGAAGAGCACTTGGACAAAAGAAGTTACCAATCATCTAGAATCTACTCAATACTTGTTCTTCAACAACAATCTTACCATTTTTAGTATGTTTTGTTCTAGACATTTACAGTAATTTTCTGATTTACTATTCATAGTAACCATTCTTAACATTTCTAGTCATGACTATATTTGAATAACATGCACCTAGGAATGTTACTTTTTCTTTGGGAGTGAAAATTACATTCTGTTTTAGGGTCAAAGTAGTATTTTTCTTTGTCTAGGAACACATCAAATGGAATTAGGAGTCTTAACTTAAAATTATTTTCACTCAAGAAGAGAAAACTTTGCTATCCTTCATCACATCAGAGTCGGAGCATATTTAGAACATACCAATCATAAGTCATATTCAGACAGTATATTGATCACTTCAGTCTCTAGTCTATATAAATGGATCAATATGAGATTAAAGTCCAGATGTTACTCCTTTTTGGGATTTATTCCAGATTATTAAAAAGGAAAAAAACAGGAAAAGATACAATCTCGACAAGATATCAGAGGCAGAAGAATGCCCAATAAGCGCCCAAATTCACCTCCATTTAGAGACTACTCTCCCCAATAATACAGAATTAATCAAGAAGCTACAAACAAAACCCCCATCCCATCAAGGCTCCCTCTCCCCATAGACCCCCCTACCAGATTAAATTTTACAATCAGCTAATGGATGGAATCTTTTCAACGGTAATTTATAGGGGGTTAAATGTATTTAGATGTTGAGTTCTAAGCATGTGCACCAAAAAGTTGAAAATAAGGGTAGAAATATGCACATCTCATCATTTTGCCACCAAGGTGTTCATAAAACAAATTTTTATCAGTTTCTTTCTTGCTTTTAATTTGGAACTATTTCATAAATATCTTGACAATTGGCGTGCAATGGATTTTCTCCATATGGAGATGCTTAATCTGTCTGCGTTATATAGCATCTGAGAAGAAAGAAATGCTATTCTCAAACTAATATGACATAGAAGGATAGCTCATTTGGCTGCTACACAGAATACTTCAAGCACTTTGCTATTCCTTGGAGATGGAGATGCTTAATACACAAGAAATCCACAAAACACAATTCTATCAGAATCAGTTGCTTTCTTGCTTTCTTGTTTTCAAATTTGAAACCTCAACAAGTTCTTGGCTTGCAATAGATTTTCTCTTATATAACTCCAGACTTCCCTAGGGTTGGCATGTCCCTTTGGGTAGATTGGAAAGGCCATACAGAGACATCTATCATGACAGTATTGATATAAGGATAAGCTCATTGGTCTCCAACAGTTCACTATTTGATTCCTTGTCTAGGAAGAAGTAGGAGATTGCAAGATCCAAGAATTGATGACACTGATGAAATACTAGTTATTGACCCCTTAATGGCAAGGCCTAATAAATTTTGGCAATTAATTGGATTGGTGATCTGGGTGCAATATAGTATTTGTGGTGTCTTTTGAGTCCGGAGATAGGTGGGAAGACGTAATAGTAATAGAGCTGAAGCTCTATCTCTAATTTTGCCAACTTGCTATAGGATATCTAACATGCTCGTTCCCTTACCCTCCAGGGACATTGGACAAGGAGGAGAACACAAAAATGGTCATACATTTGAGGTTACATCAATATAAAGTGCCTTGGATGTTTTTGCACAATTTTTGAAGCCCATGCATCCAGATTGAAGTATTGAACAACTTGTTTTATAAGGCCCAATATTAACTCAATATTTGTTAAATCATCATAGTAGAGTACTAGGGTCGAATTATTCTGTGGAACATCTCTCCAGAGAAGATGGTTTATGAACTTGGTGGTGTAATAATTTTGGTTGCAATCCTTAAGAAGTGTTCACTATTGCATATTTATTCCTTTTTGTTTTCTTGGTAAAGAGGCAGTACGATCCCAAAATAGTGAGAGGAGAAGAAGGAGAAGAGAGAAGAGAGAAAAGAAAAAAAGAGATAGGAGAGAAAAAAGTCAGTTGGTGGCGCCAGCCTTTTTAATATTTATACTAGGGCGACCATTCAAAAGATAAAAAGTATGTGCCCTTGGGGCACTAAACTGAAATAAATCATCGTTCCGCGAGTGATGCAAGCCTTCTGTAAATATATCTACAAGTTGCTCCTTAGAACTAACATATGGGGTGCACACTTACCCATTAACAATTTTCTCTCTAATAAAGTGTTTGCCAACCTCTACATGTTTAGTTCTATCATGAAGAACTGGGTTGGCTGCAATATTGATGGCAGCCTTGTTATTACAATACAAGGACATAGGGCTATCAACAGGAAAACCCAGTTCGCTCAACAAATTCTTTTATCTACATAGCTTCAGCCACCCCATGAGACATTGCTCTATACTCAGCTTCAGCACTAGACCTASCCACCACGCTTTGTTTCTTGCTTCTCCATGTGACTAGATTTCCTCCCACAAAGGAACAATACCCACTAGAGGACTTTTTGTCATCAACTGATCTAGCCTAATCAGCATCTGTATACACTTTAATCTTCAAATGACCATTCTTTTGGAATAATAAACCAGCTCCTGGAAACTTCTTTAGATATCTAAGGATTCTCTCTGCTGCCTCCAAGTGTGTGGTCTTGGGAGCATGCATGAACTGACTAAGAACACCCACTGCATAAGCAATGTCTGGGCTGGTCATGGACAAATACAGGAGAGTCTGAGGAATGAGAAGTATAATTACATATGTGCCCTTGTGGCACTAAACTGAAATAAAACTAAGTTATTCCCCAAAATAACTCTTCCCTGTCACCTGCCCACCCCTTGCTTGGGTAAAGTGTCTGCCAAATTGTTTGCTTCTTGCTTGTCCATTGGAAGCTAGTATTTAGTTCTGGTGCCAGCTTCTTATATCTCTCAGCAATTGTCAATACTGCCATGGATCTCAGCTGTTTTAAAGTAGGCAGCTAACCAATATGGACGAGTCTCTTTCCACCAAGAAATCCCTATAATTGTCTTTCCTAATTTCAACCCTTAAACTTTGATATACCACAAACAGTTCTTCCCTTGGTGATTTCCCATGATTCCATGACTGGGGACTGAGTAATCTATTGCCATCTCTAAATGCTCCGCCAATACCTGATCTTCCCATTGCATGTTTGTTCTTGATCAGCCTTGGTTGTATCTTTTTGGTCATGTAATAGTTGTGGTTGTTTATCCTTTTTTAACTTATTTAATATAGCAATTAATTGCAAACTAAATCTAGTGTGGTCAAGCATAATGGTACTATGTTTGGTCTGTTTGGCTTAAGGTTAAGTTGAACTTGGGCTTGTATTAATACCTTACGTTTAGTCCAATAATGGTTGACAAATTCTTAGGTTGAGCTCATTGGCACCAAAAAAAATATCCAGCCTACCCAAGTTGTACAGAGGGGGGCAGGTGACTTGACCATCAAAAGTGTATCAGGAGCAAAATTGCTCTAAAAAAGCCAAAAATTAAAAAAAAAAAAAGCAAAAATTTAAGAAGTATACCGGAGGTGATAACCCTTGTTTTTCCTTGTCGACCTTCAAACTTGGACCATCTCCTAGAAGTTCTTAGATTTACTGTTCTTTTTCTTTACTGTCACCCACTATTGGGACATTGTTTTCGTTTGGAAGACCATTCTCAACCAGATCCTCACTATTGTGGTTAACCTTCTTCACACGAGTGTTTGCAACTCCTGTAATCAATGTTTGATTCGCTTCGAGGTAACTCCACACTCTTAAAGTTTTTGTGAAAAGCTAAAGAGATCTTGCTATCGTTCATTAATTCAAAACCCCATGTCACCCAAGCTCCATTGATTTACTATGGCAACAAAGGAATTCTGCCTTTCATCATCTTCAACTTCACGTTCCTTCTCAGATTCCATATCAGAATTTCGTCGAACGCCATTCCAACCATCCTTCTGAGCCATATTTGGATCCAGCACGGACAGAGATGCCTGGATCAAAGTTGTTTCATCTTCTGTAGAATTGCAAACCTTTTCAAACAAAACATCAAACACCTTTTGCTCTAAATCCTTGACCCATAGGTTCCTTTAAAGCTAATTTCACTTCTGGGATTTCGCCTTCTGCCACCGCTTTCTTTACCGGTGCCGCCACCACACCTATAACACAGACAATATCATAGCAAACCAGAACGATCATCAATATTAGTCATTTGGCTTCCTTCTTGATTCCCATCTACAATAGCCAAAATATTAATAGGTTCCACAGCATACACTGGGATCGAAACAAAGTTTACACCCACTGGAACCTCACTCCCAATCTTCTGAAGTACTTGTTTAACCTTCTTCCCCACTTCTTTAACTGGAGGGATGTCAGATCCATTATTTTTCAAAGGTTATTTGGTCAAAGGATCCTTGTGAGAAGGACCAACCACTTCTCGTTTAGCCTTTGCCCTTCACTCACTTTCTTCATGCCCATGCTTAATGCAGAAGGTGCAATACTTTGGCATATCTTCATAAGCAATCTTATACCAATAACTTGAAATGAAACTTCGATGGGAGTAGTCAAGGAAACCCAGGCCCAGCTGGAATAGGAGGGGTCATCAGAGACAAGGAAGGAAACTTAAGAGCACTCTTCTCAGGACCAGTGGGGAATGGAGACTCCTTAAAGGCAGAATTGCAAGCAGCCCTACAAGGTGTACAGATTACAAGAGAGTTAGGATTGGAAAATTTGGTGATAGAAGGGGACTCCAAGGTGGTGGTGGGTTGGCTAAAAAACCCAGATTCAGTGATCTGGGTTTACAGAAATGAATTGAAGAAATTCAAATGGTTAACTCAGCAGATGGAGGTAACTATACAGTGGGTGGGGAGGGAGGCAAATGCTTTTGCTGATTCTCTAGCTAAACAAGGGGTAACTAGGGAACAGTTGTATTGGGCCCAATTGTAACTTTATGAGGCTTCTGTATCAATGAGTGAGGCTGCACCTCGCACCTCATATTGAGATGCTTGTAACTAACTATTTATCATTCGCGTCTAATAAAATCAATTGAATTTTATCTATCAAAAAATAAAATCTTATACCAATAACCTCTTTTCCCATGCCAATCCGAACCCTAGAAGGTTTCGGTTTTAACAGATCCAACCCCACACATACACGAGCAATAGTTATGCACATGAGTATGGAAGTTGCTACATCAATCTTTAGAACCCCACCCACAGTGTACGCAATCAACTTCAGAAACATCTCATTATAGAGATTGGTAGCAGAGGGAAGCTGATCCACGCAGGTACCATCAAGGGCTCCCAACCCAACTCTAAGTCAGGCATCCATTTAAGGAAACAAAAGAGGAAATCTTAAATCGTGATTGCCTCCCGCAACCAAACTCTCAAAATCTCATATTCATCCTCAAACCGAAGAACATGTCAGGGTCAAGTGAAGAGTGCCAATAAAAAAGTCCCACCAAGGCAGAAAATGTGCTAAAGAGAGATCAATCTCAGCCTTTAAGAAAAAGATAGCCAAATCACTGCCTGAGAGAGAAAGGAGGTTTCAAAGGAATATTGACCCAAGGAGGATTAAGAGGACTTGAAAAAGGAGTTGAAAAAGCATTCACAACTGCAATAAATGAGGGTTTCTGAGCTTGGGAACCTAGCGGTTCTCCCATCTTCGTAACCCTAGTTCAACATGATCTTTTCGGGCTTAGTAGCTATAACTTTCTGATATTATATGGAGGGCCTAAAACAGCTGCTTAGTGTTTTGATTTTAAAATTTTAGATAGATAAAACAAATGAAGAATGGATTAAATAGAGCTTCCTGATACATGGGACTGTAGCTTGAAGCAATTTGTTTAATGTTTAAATTGATGAGCTTTAGATATGTCAAACACATTAAGTTGCATGAGCCTCACATAGCAAACCTGAAGCTGGTTCGAAATTAGGATTGATAGACATGAATTCAAATTTCTGTGTACTAGAAGTAAGGCTAAATCTGGGGCATGAGAATATAAAACTTGTAGAAGGGTTTCAAGCCCCATAGTTTGCCACCTGTTCCGTGTTTTCAGCCCCACCAAGTGATGGATCCTACCTAGTAAACCATCTATGCCAAGAAAAAGATTGCAGAAAATACTATAATCAGTTCTTTGTACCATGTCTGAATTGGATGGTGGGAGAATTGTTTTTCTTAAAAGAAAGCTGCATAAATGATGTCTAAATCAGATGGTTAAAAATCATTTGAATATGCTTATATGCATCTTATTCTACACACCCAAGACACTCCCTAAGAAATAAGCAAATAAACCTTCCTAATCTACTTTTCTCATTAAATAATTTGAGTTACATTTGTACCTCTCTAGATCTATTTTGCAAATTACTAGGTTGCAAAAGTACTTCCTCAATCATGTAAACTAACATGGGGGCATTATGCATTCCCTTTCAAGCAAGAGTATGTCAAAGTGAGAATATTGTTGAGAACATAGATATAAGACAAACTTTGGACATCACACATGACTGGATTTATTTTCATTTTTTTTAAGCTGCAGCACCATAAAACACTGATTATTATAAAATACCAAAATAAAAAATTTGTAGAGGAATTTTTGTAAATTATATGGTTATCAACATCAATAGTTAGAGATGGCAAAACTAACCTTTCCTGTAGACATGCAAGCAATGCAGATTAACCCACAATAGCTGAAAAGCAACCAAATAAGGAAACCCCATTTTTGGCCTTCCTCAGGTAACTGTAAGCATTCAAAAGCAAAGCGTATTAAATAAAACTAGCTTTAAAATAATTTCTTCCAAAACAGAGAACATAAATCAATAACTTACACAGCCTCTTGCACTTGTGAACCATAAGGTCCCAATTACAGTCCAAGCCCAAAGAAAGGGGTACAGCAACAGGGAAAGAATTGAAAGAACCACAATTCTTCCACAGAAGCGAGCATATCTTTGCTGCCATCCAAAATCTCTACATTTATGTAAAACAGAGGAAGAAGGAATGATGTGGTTATTTACAATCCAGACAGAACATATCACGAAAACAAAATATGATTATCTGGCAACCTTGGAAAAAAATTGTCTTTTTTCTATCTTTTTATGAGTAGAAAGAAATTTAAAATGATCAAAACACCCAGAGAATCTCTCTGAAAAATTTGAGCTCAAATTATTAACTCTACTGGTGCGTGTTAAAAGTCTGTGATGTTGGTACCACAGACTCTGAAACCCCATACACAATAACCATTTTTTATAAGTAAAAATCTTTAATATTTCATTAAATCAGTAAAGATAAACAATTGTTACAAGTTTCCCCAATGGAGGCACGAGATGCAGCCTCACTCATAGAGAAAAGACAGCACAAGAACTACAATTGATCCCTAGTTATCCCTTGCTTAGCTAATGAATCAGCCATAGCATTAGCTTCCCTCCCCACCCATTTGGATAATCAAGCTCATCTGCTGTGTTAACCATCTGAATTTCTTCATTTCATCTCAATAGCACCATACCCCAATAACCTATTAATCACTAACCTCCCTTGCCCATAAAATATAAAGCAAAATAACAGATCTACAAGAATAGAAAGGCCTTGTTATCAGTTTTGAGAGAACAAGATCATTCAATACAACAGAGTTGTGTGTAAACAAATTAGGGCTACAGGCAAAACTTCATGGAGATTTTCCAAACCAACTCCTTGTCATACAAAATTATAAAATGAAATAACAGATCTACAAGAATAGGAGGGCCTTGTTATCGGTGACAAGGAAACAAAATTATTCAATACTACAGTCTACAGAAGTGATGTTTCTAAACAAATTAGGGCTACAGCCAGAAGTTCATGGAGACTTTCTAAACCAGGTCTTTGTCGTACAATATAAGATTAATGTTTTTGAGGTCATACCAAAGCAAAAGAGTGCAAGGTGTGCTGCAAATATTTTCAAGTGTCATGAGATTATGACTGATTAATGTTCCACCAAGAAACTAAGTAAGTTACCTAGTAAATTTGGACTTTCTGGATTTAACCCATTAGCTAACTCATAAGCATGATTTCAAATACAAAAGAATCAAAAATCAAACTGCTTCATCGGGAATAAGAACCTTTCAATCATCACTTCTTGGAGACTCACAAAATTATATAGCATTTTCAAGTAACTCGGAAATCAGAATTTCGAATGGCATAAGAGCAGTGCTACACTAAACAAAACAATGTCAGCTATGGGTTGAAAAGAGCCCTAGTCATTACTCTCATTAAATCTAGTGTATGAAAGATAGTAACTCTTATATCATTGGATAATAATCACTACATGTATTGAAACATCAAATTTCATAACCCACTTCTATAAGTTCAAGACGGGAGTCCTTACAAACCCATTCCTGCAGCAAGGCCATTGTCTACAAACATCAACAGCCGAAAAACAAAGACAGTTGTATAGTCAACCTAATACAACACAAAAGGAAAAATAAAGGACATGAATAAGTTTTCTTCTACAACCCAGCTACATATATGCACGAAAAATCTAAGTATGTATTCTTTAGGAAAGAAAGCTTACCACGATCCATATGTGCAACGGGTATGTACAAAGATGATAGCGCTTCCAATTAATGGAAACAATGATTCTAACAGCCAATTTGTCAAAGAAAACAGCAAAGGGTTATAGAGATCTAGTTCAAGTCACAAAACGGGGGAAAAGCAGAACTTCTTATAACATGAAAAACTACTCTAAGCCTTTAATTAAGCAATTCGTGTATCCTATCATGTTAATTTGAACATAGTTACCCTATGCAACTAAAACCTCGAGATCAATAAGAAGGATACACACTTGTTGCGAGCATCGACAAGAAAAATCCATCGTACCTGCAAAAGGAAGTTCCGCGACGAATAAAAATAACTGAAAGAAAAAAAAAAACAAAAAAAAAAATGCTAGGAAAGAACTTCCAGCAAACGGTTCTCCATTTCCATGAAAAATTCGAACTTACCACTTGAAATCGACGCCTCTGATAGCCATCCAAGACGAACTACATCTAAACCCCTAAGACGATTCAAGATTCAAACTTTGGTCCAAGGTTTACATGCGTTAATTAAAGGAAAGAATCCGCCAAGAACCATTCAAGCGTGCTATTTCCACCAAATCAATGCTTCGTTTGAACAAAATCAGACGAACATGAGAGCGGAACTCACGGAAAATGAACAAAGACAGGACAAAGTAAAGGAAAAAATTTCAAACGATAAGATGCTGAAGAGGAGTCGTTCGGGGACAACAAAGTAGAGGACTAGAGGGTAAATGGGGATGGCAAACAGAGAAGTGAAGCAGAGCAGCCTTCTCATATGTGTCCGAAAGTTTAGGGCTGAGGGACCGTTTCACCGTTACTTGACGACGTTAAGACATACTACTGACTGTACGGCCTACAGCTCCCTTTATCGGCTTGCGTACGGCAGCAAGTGGACACCACGTAAGATTAAGCGCTGACGTGTTAGATCTTATGATGCTTGATTGGGAGTTTTTAATGGATGCTCGAATAAGACTTGTGCTTACCACGCGTCAACTTGTCTAGCATTTTAGAGAGATGATTCGGTGTCAACAGTCGTTTTGATGAATGGAGTATGAACTCTAGCTCGATATTTGCTCTTCGGTAGTCGTTGGTTGTTACTTGCAAGTCAGCCATGATAGTTAACTGTTTGACTTGCGTATCTACACCGAAGAGCCGGTGCACCGAACTGGATCTACAATGGACATCATCCTCAGGGTAAGGGATAAGTAAGTTGAAGATACAGAGTTCAAATCAGCCCTACGTCTCACAGCACATCCCCGCCGTGTATTAGAAATATTTCCCGACGATAATACAAAAAATGATGATGGGAGATATTTCTAATACACGGCGATAATGTATGTGGGACGTTGTCGGAGCAATCTTGTGGGAGGGGCTGATTTGATCTGGAAGATACAGGGGATTAATACTCGAGGCGCGTTATTACGTGGATGCCAGCAAAACGATCCTGTCCAGTTCTTATGGCATGGTCCGAATGAATTGGGATCTGCTCCTCTTGCGGAGCACCTCACAGACACATTCCACATTCCCATCGTGCATTGAGAACATCTCCCTGTAAGTGCCTGTGGTCGGTGTGAGGTGAGTAGATTCGGTCTCAATTTGGATCATCCAGGCCAAAACCAATGGTTAGGGGTGAGCATTCGATTTGTTCGGTTAAAAACTGAACCGAATAAATCAAATTTTCAAAAAATGATATAATCTGAACATGTGCCGTGTCAGCATGTCTATTGGCATTATCACATTAAGAGTGTTGACCCTACAAACAACACTACAACCTCATGTCATAATTACATTGGTCCCCACACAACGCGCCCCACCTAAAATCCCAACTGTGCAATAGAAACATCTCCCTAGGGTTGTTCATGGATTGGGTTGGGTTGGGTCGGTTTACTGAGGTTTTTTCAACCGACCCGACCTAGTCGGGTTATCTGAGATGGAAACCGAAACCGACCCAGTGTTAAGTAAAACCGACCTAGTCGGTTTGAGTCAAGCTGGGTCGATTTTGACTCTAAGTTCATCCATGCCCCCCATGGCCACCTAGTTTTCTGGAAATATATTTAAAACTGAAATATGTATTTTAGAAAATATATATATAAACACAAATATACATATAAATATATTGGAATATATATTTTATGGAAATATATATCTGACATATTTCATAATATATATTTTTTAGATAGATATTGGAATATATATTTTCAGATATTTCAGTTTTTAGTTAAGTAGGAATTAAGTCGGGTCGGTTTCAGTTTTCACACAAGAAAACCAAAATCGACCTGAACCATCAGTTTATGAATTTGTACAACCCGAAACCGACCGGTACTGGTGAAAACCCGACCGACTCAAATTGGGTCCGGGTTGGTCGGTTTGGTCGGGTTGGGCCTTCTTATGAACAGCCCTACATCTCCCCATGAATTGTGAGTTGGAGCGCCTGTGGTGGAGTTCAAATCAGCCCCCCACAGCACATCTCATCCGTGTATTGGAAACATCTACACGCAGTGGGGTGTTGTAGGGGGCAATCTTGTGGGGGGCTGATTTCATCTCGCCTATGGTGTGTACTATGGGGAAGCCTATGGGTGTTCACGGTTCAGTTACCATGGGGCTTTTTATGGAATCGAACCGGTATTACCGAATTTTGGAAAACTGGTAATTGGAACCAAATCGAAGCCAGTCGGTTAACCAGTTGACCGATTTGGTTAACTGTTAGTTTTTTACTTTTTATAATATATATTATATAGATATATAATAAAAGTATAAATATATATATAATATTATCTTTAAAATATTAAATAATATATCATATATTATAAATATGCATATATATTTATATATAATGCATATTTATAAATTTATAATATAGAAAATATAATATATAATATATAAATATATGTATATCAGTCGGTTCGGTTAACCACCGGTTTTCTATATTGGTTAACCAAAATCGAACCAATGCCTTGTGTTTTTAAAAAATACCGAACCGACCGGTTCGGTTAACCTTTTTTTCTTTTTTTTTTTTTTTTGCTCACCCCTAGGGAAGTCAACCCACATCCCTCGTATTAGGAACATCTCCGTTAAGAGATCAGATGTACTTTTCGCAAAGCCTGCCTAATGCTTTGTTAGGAGCATATTTGAATTCATCGAGTAAGGTAGATTCAATCTTTACAATCACTAATTTCATATTATGAATCCAAATCACCTACCAACAAAATACGTTATCACACTCTACCAACAACATCATACATGACATGTCTCACTTTATGGTGTGCCCAGTTTTATAGCGAGGTGTGTCAAGTTGGTGGGGTATTAAAACTGGTTTTGTTGGCAAGTGATCCCAACTCTCGTGACCAGTAGCCTCCCAAACCCAAACTTCCATTTACAAGTTACAACCAATACCCTCTGAAACTTCCGATTCCATTGCTTTTTTGGCATGCTTAACTTCAACAAATATTCTCAATGCCACCATCATGTATTTGTTAATTCTTTTAAAATCTCTAAATTATCCATTCCTTAATTTATGAGATAACTCCACCTTTTCTCTAACACTTTTTTTTATAAATATTTTATTTATGTACATGAATTTCTAGAATGTGTAAATTTAGTACAAAACTGTTAACCGCCTTTAAGAGGCATATGAAATGACACAAATGCCCTTCAATTGTCATATAATTTTCTTCATCAGCCATTAGAACTAGTTTTCATCCTTTATGTTACCACTCCAACAACTACTAATAAATCTAAGGAAAAAATCTTGATAGGTACCCTGTACTTTAGGTTGAGTGCGAAATCAGTACCCAAACTTTAAAACGCGACAATCTAGTACCTACCATTAGTGGACCATCAGTTATGTATAGCACGTGACCTCATGTGCGATTTAAGACTCTCAGAAATGTCAAATTTACCCTTGGACAATGTTCATCATCTTATTTCTCAACAAAATGAAACAGAGCCCAAATATACTGTTCATCATATTCTTTATCAAGAAAATGAAGATCAGGTTTCGGGAACCCAAATCTCTTAATGGAGGTGAAGCCTCCATCCACCACCAGCGTTCTTCGCCACACCAAAGAATGCTTGCAACAATGGCTCCAGCTTCGCTCATCGAATATCTAAATCCGAATCCTCCCTAAACAAAAAACAAATAAAAAAAATCCACCTCAAAACGGATGCCTCCGCACTGCTCATCTTGTTTACTAATTGAAGAAAGAAAGTGCCACCATCACATATTATAGAGAGACCGGAGAAATGATGATGATCCAATGTGGTCATCCGATGAAACAAGTTGGGATTAGGTATAAAATATCATGTACTGGAGGTCAAGGAGATTCGCATTGCATTGACTTTGGATGGTGGTTTTCTTTTGGCGAAACCCACATGGACATGGGATGGAACTGGGCGCGAGTGCGATGATTAATGCCATTTCCAAATGAACTAAGGTTGATAAGGATGTATGGTCTTCACTGAACACGATTGGTACCATTTCACACTTGCAAAATTAACAACATAAATGTATGAAGCGATGGTAGTTGGGTTGCATTGCTGATTCGGATTTTGGATTTAAAACCGCAAGAATTCCATCCCCCGAATCCGGTGGCAGTAGATGCACAGTGGTGGGGAACAATGGCGATGAACAGTATGATGCGAAAACCATGGTTCGGACTGGAATGGTGGTAGTGAACAGTGTTCATAAACTGGAGAAGTGGGTGTGAACAGTGCGAGAACAATGGCGATGAATTTTTGTTTAGTTCTGAATCTATAACACTAATTTTCTTTCTCTGGTTTTCTCTTTTGTGGCGGGGAACAATGGCGATGAATAGTATGATGCAGAAACCATGGTTTGGACTAGAACAGTGGCGGTGAACTTTTGTTTAGTTACGACTCTATGAACACTAGTTTTCTCTTATGTGGTGGGGAACAATGGCAATGTTCAACGAAGGAGATGATGAATAATAGCGGTGAACAGTAACAAAATTAGATGAAACTTAAGGGGCATTTGTGTCTTTTCCCATAACACTTAATGGTGAGTTAACGCCATGTACTAAATTGTCACAAAATGAAAGTTCAGGTACTAAATTGTCGCATTTTAAAGTTCGAGTACTAAATTGGTTCTCGACCTAAAGTAAAGGGTACCTATTGGGGATTTTCCCTAAATCTAACTTTGTCAACCATATCCACCATCCCCACACTCTCCTAAAATGCACCTAACGTTTTCCCACACCTCTACAATGATGAACGGTTTTGTTAACAGAATATTCTACATCAATGGGCCGATTGGTGTCTCATGTCTTGACCTCTCCACCATAAGATATCGTGCTTAATGTGATAGATGCAGGCGTTGACCGCGTGGTCGATGGAACAATCCAGATGCAGGTAGGAACAACTACCAACATTGGCTCAAGTTTGCCGATTGTCATTCTCAATGGCTTATAGGTGATGAATATGAGCAACTGCGACATGAACTTGGATGGTATGTTCGGTGTTGGCGGGTCTTACTTAGAACTAGATACATGAAGCACTTCAGTGAAGATTGTTGCTGGTATTGATCTGGTCATGGGGGTGACGGCGATGTTGATGCTTGGGTATATTTTCAGGCATTGGTATAAGAGGGCACACGATTGGGAGAAGCGCAACAACTTCTCATCATGGCTCCTCCTCACAATCTACTTTACCCTTACTATGTCTAAACCTGGCTAAAACCCATAAGCTACTCCTTAAAACTCAACACATTTATGTAGTACTTTAAAGGCAACTAAGTTTGACCTAATTATAACTATTTGAACTTAACTCTCTCT